TATATATATCCGTACGGATTTTCTAAGCAACTCAATATTATTATACTTGGAATCATTGGATATGAACGTATCGGCTGAAATTGTTTTCCAAGCGTTTAATGTTGATAAAATTATGCCTAAGATATAATAAAATTGTATCATGTAAATATAATATATACAGCTTCTGTGTTTACTAACGAGGATAGAAATGTGATATTTGGAAAAATAAAAAATAATTTTTAATAAAGTATACATTGCTGAACAATTTTTATATTATATAATTATACATAGAAATCAATTCTTAGAAGCTGCTTGTAAATAGATTATGTAAATAGATCAGCCGTTAAAAAATAATGGTACTAGCGGAACATCTATACATAATTTATGACACAATTTCGTTTAATAAAGACCGATTTACACAACCCGAAAAATAAAAATAAATAACTTGTCTTTGGTTGATTCTATTAATTTATTTAGTTTTATCGCTAATATTTCAAATTAATTTAATGCTTCTGTTAATTTCTTCTTTTTGTCATTAATATTTCAAATTTGTTTGCCAATAATAGTAATAATAATCGTAATAATAATGTACGTAACTTGACGAAAAATTATGGACATAGCAAAATTTACATAGCATAATTGCATTGATAATCTCTTCGGATTATCGAACAAAATATATAGTATTTAGGATATCGGAACTAATTTTTGAAATCGAAGAAATTTTTCGTGTTAAATCTCATGTACGAGATATATTTCCTCAGGTTTATGTTCATGTAAAAAAGTGTAGGAAAAAAAATGAGAGAAGTTTTCTACTGCTTAATTTCTATCATATAATAAACTGATCGACGATTAGTTTAATATATTCAATGAGGATTAAGGGCAAAACCAATTATATTAAAGAATTTTACAACGATTGCGAAGCTGTTTTTTTCCGCTGAACACAGCCAATTATTAACTAGATTGAACTCGTCGATCAGTTTATTATATGATAGAAATTAAGCAGTACAGAAAATTTCTCTCATTCTTTTCCTCACTACACTTATTTACATAAACGTAAACCTGAGGAAATATATCTCGCACATGAGATTTAACACGAAAAATTTCTTCGATTTCAAAAATTAGTTCCGATATCCTAAATACTACTCGTATATATTTTGTTAGATAATCCGAAGAGATTATCAGCGCAGTTATGCTGTGTAAATTTTGCTGTGTCCATAATTTTTTGTCAAGTTACGTAAATTATTATCATTACGATACTATCAGCAAACAAATTTGAAATATTAATGACAAAAAGAAGAAATTAACAGAAGCATTAAATTAATTATCTATTAATATTAGTCGTGCTCAGCAGATTCAACTGTTGTGGAGTGGATTCGTGAATTCTCGTTGATATTGGATGATCTAGAAGAATACATCAATACGAGGGAAAATCAATAAGTTTCTAGAAAAACATAGTTTTTTTCTAGAAAAACACATTTTTTTTTATCGATTTATTTTTATTTCTCAACATAGTCTCCTTTCAGCTCAATACACTTGATCCAATGATTCTCCAACTTTTTCAAGCCGTCCGAATAATATGATTTGTCGACCCTTCAAAATAAGCCTCTGTTTCGGCGATGAGCTGCTCTCTGGTGGTGAATCTCTTTCCTCCGAACCATTTCTTCAGGTTTGGAAACAGGAAATAGTCGCAGGGGCTAAATCTGGCGAATCTGGCTGAACGGAGAAGCAATTCGTAGCGGAATTCGTTGAATTTGGCTATCGGTGCCGGGCACGTGTGAACCCGTGCATTGTCTTGATGGAAGAGCACTTTCTTCTTCGCCAAATGGGGACATTTTTTCTTTAAAGTGTTGTTGAAACGGTCCAATAAGGCTGCGTAGTAATCACCATTGATTGTTTGTTTCGATGGAAGGTAATCGATATAAATTATACCGCGTGCATCCCAAAAAACTGTGGCCATCATCTTTTCGGCCGACTTCATGGTCTTCGCCTTCTTCGGAGCTGGTTCACCCGGTGAAGTCCATTGTTTTGACTGTTCCTTCGTCTCGGGTGTGAAGTAATGGATCCATGTTTCGTCCATAGTAATGAATCGACGCAGAAATTCATCTGGATTACGTTGAAACATCTCCAAACATTGTTTTGAAATCGTCACACGGTTGCGCTTATGATCCACAGTGAGCAAACGCGGCACCCATCTTGCCGATAACTTTTTCATACTCAATTATTTGTGCAAAATTGAAATTACTGTGCCATGTGATATGCCTCTGGCCTCAACAAGCTCGCGCACTTTCACTCGTCGATCAGTCAAAACAATATCGCGGACTTTATCGATAATTTCTGGCGTAGCAGCCTCAATTGGACGTCCCGAACGAGGTGCATCACATGTGGATGTACGATCACATTGTTTAAATTCATTCACCCAATTGTATACAGTCGCAAACGCTAGTGCAGATGTGCTATGAACATTATCCAACTCGGCTTTGATTTCTTTCGACGTTAAACCTTTCATATGTAGATGTTTGATCACTGCAGGAAACTCGTTTTTTTCCATTTTGCAAAAGATACAAAGGTTGTTCGCTTTAATCGTCTACAGAAATGAAACCACGCGATAAATTCCCCTCAAAATTTGACAGTAATCAGCTGAAAGATGTTACTTGTCAAAAAGTGTGACATGACACTGCGAGTGCCCTCTGACAGATTTTCTAAGAACTTATTGACTTGCCCTCGTAGCAGCGAACATTCACGAATCTATTCCAACAGTTGTATCTACTGAACACGACCATTGTTTCTAAGGATCGCTTATGGTAATCACGTTCCATTTGTTTTTTATTAGAACGCATAATATTTAATCAGGAATTTTTTACAAAACTAGCACAGATTCATTCATGTACGGATCATGCGTAACATTAATTGACATTTGTGTTTACGTAAATCTAGTGACTTATATGCATATACATACATATAATGTGAGGATATTTGACGAAACTTGACCGATTCGATTAAACTAGTTTTATTAAAAAATTCTTTAGAATTCAGCTGATTAACAACGATAAATTGTGATATATTAAAGTTTTAAAAATGTCTCTTTATATCAAAAGAAAATTTTGACACAACACATTGAAAGATGTAA